TTTATTTGGCTATCCTGACTCGCCCAACCAAACTCCTACTCAATACCCCGCGTTGCTCAGTGGTATACGAAACACTCCTGGCAGTGATAATGAGGAATATACAACACGACCCTAATGAATATCCAATACAGTGCACAAGATTGTATTGATACACCTATCTTTGGAGCTTTCTGTCTAATCCTCTGGTTATAATTAACCAAAATCAATGAGTACAAATGTCTAGTGTAGCGTATGAGAGGAGGGGGGGGGGGGCTTTGACAGGACGCAGAACACCAAGCCATACACAAAGGAGTAGTGTGAGCCATAATTTGTACAATGATGAATGACGTATGTCAATAGATGAGAACAGAAAGAAAAAACCCTGCAAATACATAGCAGGGAAACAATGCACCATAACAAATTGATAATTGATTATAATATACATGTTCAACATCATCTGTTATCTGACTCGTACACCAAATTACACCTTAAAAAAAAAACATTTGCAGGTACAAGTATTAACATTTAAAAAAACAACCATACAAACACATGACTCTTCTATCACAAATAAATAAATCCAACTGTTTAATCCTATCAAACAGTCATTAATATAACTAGGCAATCCCGACTGACTCGCCCAACTAAGGTTTAACCAGAACCACAGTGTTTAGATGTAGCCTCACACCTTGCTGTCCTATCCAGTCACTCTTCTGGAATTATATTATATGTAACAAAATAACATTACCCTACGAGTGCAAGTACTAAATCCTTCTATATAATAGTAAACTACAATATATTTAATAACAATATCTGAAATGTATTGTGCATCCACAAAAACATCAAAATCGTTAAAGTCGATTCATATAAAATAACCGAATAATTACAACGTTTGCTGAATTTGAACAACTGATGAAGTGATAATAAAATGACATCATACAGTGTATTTAGTATAAATGACATAGTCGATATTCCGGATATCATTCTAGTATAACTGCGGCTATTAATACATCTTTCTCCACAATTTAACCACAGAACGACAATTTACATCTTCTACAAAGATAAACAATGAATCAACAATGAAAAGAAATAATAACGCGACTGTGTACTTTTAACAATGACTCATACTCCTATTAGTGAGCAACTATACAAAATAATTAAATACTACATCAACATTGCTATACAATTGATGATTAGCTACTTATACTTGTGCTTTACATGGGAACAAAAGTTCCAATATAACCATCGTCTCTTAACAACAAATTCACATAAAAAGAATAAATCATATACCTGGAGTATCCTCCACAACTCATATTAACTGATGGGAGTCACTGAACACGGGTCTCTATACTTAACAAAAACGTCTCTTAATACTGCCTACCCCTTGAAGATTTCATACACATCAGTTATTTGTGTATAGTATGATCATTTAGCCAATCCTACCTGCAACGATCTATCCTCTATTTAAACAACACAAGGTATATATACATGTATATTGATAATACACTGTCGATCATAAAGGCGGAATATTTTAGTTTTACCCCAATTTATGGAATTATTTTAAAAATTATTTAAAAATAATAGATCTAGATAATAGTATACATTCTCAGATTTTATTGAATAATAATTTGCCAATGTGTGTTTTGCGGGACTGCTAAAGCATGTGTATGCTACTATGCGTATTAACTAGGTGACCTACGCCCTTAAGTCATAAATGACAGTAATGAGGATTGATGCCCCACAAAAGGGCACTAATATAGCACATCGACACGGTTTTGATCCTGGGGCCTCACAGTTACGAGGCCATTGTTTTGTCACTGAACCATGACTGTACGCAGCGGGGGCTAGGGTAGGGGGCAGTTTCCATAAATTAAAAAAGCACAGAAAATGCAATAAATTTTCAATAATATATTGCATTTTACCCCGGTCCCAACATTAAAAAAAATCCTCTGGACGGCCATGCATTATGGCTCAAGGCATGGACACACAGAAAATTCCGTTATAAAATCGGAGAATGTATACTCATATTGCTCCGATTGTCTCATTTTCGCTCGCTCGATCACTGCAGCACAAACATAGCTCGTTCGACGTCACTACCAAACTAGCCAATCAGCTGTCAATGACGTCATATTGAATGTGGCGGCAAATATATTTTGTGAAATTATCGAGAAATTGACTATTTCTAATCGCAAACTAGTTTTATTTTTGGATGGAAAAGCAGCCATTGTTATCTTGACATCCATTGAAGTCATCAGAATAGGGTAAGTTACTTCTCAGATAATTCAAGAGGTCCATTTTTAAATAATTTTTTAATTTCTTAGAATGTTCCACTGTGTTGCAGGGTACCGGGTGTATTCTCGTACTGATGTAGGTGCAAAGCTAGAATGGCTACCACGCCCACTTCCCTTTCTATGCTTTTCTGAACATTCCTTTCCTTCTCAATACAATAACTTTCACCTGCCTAAGTTATTCAAACCATACCGCCTCGCTACTTCCATTACGTAATCATTAAAAGGATCCGCATATTCAACATTTTCCTGCTATACGTTGTACTGCAGGACAATACAAATCTCCCTGGTATACCTTACAGTCCAAACGATAAATATGTGCCTTTAACGAAGCAGGCGGCAATCGGCGTAGCAGACGACACTTGATAGTAATTTTGTATGTGCGATTGCTTTGCTAAATATAAATTACTTTGTTAATAAATATCAACTAAAATTTCTTTTACATTTCTTTAAACCATCATTGATATTTAATAATTCATGAGTGAGTAAAAGAAATATACCAAACTATATAATTATATGAAATACTTGGTGGCAATTAGGGGAGTTTGACGTGATGACCGATTGCACCCCTCTGTTAATAACCGAATAGTCCATGGTGAGTCATGAATATTCATGTTTTTGCTCACCTCGACTAAATGTTTGCTTGTACTAAATTGAAAAATTACGGTGGGGGTTGGATGAAATGGACATAATGAAATGGGCAGAAGTGATCTATGATAGTTCATGCTTTTTATGTTTCGTGTGCTCGACCTATAATCTTCAAATCGTTTGGCAAACTGAGTCCAAAGTTAGACTTGTTTCACATGTGTATTATAGGCAATGACGAGCTTGCAACCTATTTTGAAAAATTACGGTGGGTGAACTTTCAAAAGTCAATGAGACATGAGGGCTCCAATGAAAGAGCTAGTGATAACGTACGTCGGGGTGGATGTGCTTTTCGTTTAAACAAAAAATGAATTTTTAACGATTTAAAAAAAAAAACGTCCATAGACTAACATGTTAGGCTGCTGACTCTGACAATGCTCTGACGATAGGGGGCGTTGTGAAATGAGACTAAACGGAGCAATATGATTATCTAGATCTATTATTTTTAAATTATTTTTAAAATAATTCCATAAATTGGGATTAAAAAAAACTAGTCCACCTTTATGAGCGAAAGTGTAGTATTGTATTACACTGTTGTAAATATCAATAACATAATTTGCGGACGAATAAACGTGTTCTGACCATGCCTGACAGCTAAACTAGTCATCATTCATTAAATAAACTACGAAACAAAGCCATGCTGATGAATTTTCAACAAAATACATCATCACTCTTTAATAGCTACTCATAGTGTAGAAAACTATCGATCGTCATTATTTTGGTATAATACAAATAATACAGTGGCTGACCGCCCCTTAATAAGGATAAGGGGTGGTCAGTCACTGTATTATTTGTATTATACAATAATGTTTGCCATTATCGCAACGTACATTATTACATAATGCTTAATTACTTATCATACACATATTTACAAAATATACTTCTATTAAATCTAAATAAACATGAGGATTATCTTGGGACTACTTTATTGCCATATGACAGCAAAGCTGGACCCCAGTGATTTGGTCTCTTTACCTCTTTAAAACCAGCCCTATGGCTCAACAATGTGGTTCTACTAGTAGACTGAATTTATGATGTGTCCATGTAAAGCTTTCAAATGTACGATTTACATACAGTGTGCCTGATTACTACGAATAGAATGTAAATGAAAGAAAAAACACTAATCCATGGATAGATGTGATAATTGACTTTGTATAAATTTAAACTGGCAATAGACCTACATCGTGTGATTGGAATTTAAGTCGCATAGGCCACGTGTTAAAGTATATATATATAATGCTTTTCGTTTCAAATTCCCTCCTCCCTTTTACATATCATTGAGATGTGGTTTATTTGCATTGTTAAATTTGTTTAATATAGTGGAGTTTTTGTTGATGTTGTTATTTTTTTTTCTGTTAGTATTTCTACTATAGAACATTGAGTCTTATGATAGTATCTTTCTACCAGATTGAATTCTGGACATATTTTGTCTTGCTTGTTTGTTGTTGTTGTATGTTTGATTGAATCAAGCCAGCTAGAATCACAATTTTTACAAATAATTGGACATTCATTTAAACTAAAAATTAACACAATATATAACATAAGACAGATATATATCAGAACATTAAACCGAGCATAATGCAGGCAGCCACACAATGAATAGTATTTGAAAACCTCCATTTACGAAAAATGAGTTCAAGTTTTGTATTCAAGATCTTGAGAGGCAGCAATGGTAGCTTTAAAACCGTGGAGATTAGGGGGATTCGTTCTAGAAAGAATTTTGGTAAGGGTCATGTAAAGAAAGAGAACAAGGAGAGACGTGTAATTGGAGGCGGGAATAGGGAAAAAGTGACAGAAATTAGTTATGAGAGGAACAAAGAGAGTCAGAAAGGAAGAAGAAACAAATTGGAGAGAGAGTTAGTAAGAGTGAAGAGCGAGAGAGGAAATAATAATAATGCGAGAAAAATAAGGACAAATGCACGGTAAAAAGATAGAGAAACTGCCTAATGAGCAAGAAAATTAAGAGAGACGGTGTGAAAAAAAGAAAAGGCACTTGGGCTTTTTAATATCACAGCGACTTAGAGACTGTCTCTATGAAGGCAATTTCACTCGTACTATAACACGTTCTTCTTTGTTTCATATCACAAGTTCTCATCTCAGTTCTGTCGGGATGGAGAGGTTAGCTATATATTTGAAGGTCTTGCGTATTCTAGCAAGATCAGCCATGTCGTGTTGATCACTCTCGCTCTCGCTTTCGTTTCCGCTAGCTTCTCGGTGGAAAGTACCTAGGTCACAAACACTTTCATCATATGTATACAACTGGGTGTTCTCAACTTTGTGTTTCGCCAGTGCTGCGGATGTTTCATTCAGGTCTCTGTCCAATTCGTTCTCCAGTTCCAAGAATTCTATGTAGAGTGTTTTCAGTGCATCAGAGTTTGGAAACTTACATGTACTGGTACTTGCAACGCCCTCTCGTCGAATAAGAGTGCTCTTTGAAGTAATTCTCTGCAATGAATGTTTCTGACGTCCAATTAAATCTGTCATTGCCTTGTCAGATTTTTGGCGGATGTCGTCCAACTCTTTTGATAGTCTTTCCCTGTGTCCCCGAAGAATCTCTGACTTTTCATGAAAGGAATTTTCTATTTCCCTATCTAGATTCTCCAGATGAGAATGCATATCACGCATATGTCGCTCACGATTGGCAATAGATACTTTGATCTCTGCTTTCTTCTTCTCACTTCTTTTAATAAGAGATTTTCTTTTCTTTTTCAACTCTGCTACAACCTCTTCCTTCTTCTTAAACCTGTGACCCTGATGTTTATCAAACAAACAAGACAGACATATGAACTCCTTGCAAACCTCACACAGAATGTCTTTGTAGACTTTGCTGTGCAGGGAACAGTACTCTGATGATTTACCATTGGCCCTAGGATGTACATGTAATTCCTCCTCGAGGCCTTTTACAGAGAAATTGGGTGCAAGTCCTGCGACTCTATTTTTTTCCAGTTTGGTGCGTTTCTTGCAAACCGGACACTCCATGAAATCTTGACCTCGGTAATGTGTATCGTATTTGTCCAGACAGACCTTGCAGAATGTATGTCCACAGAATAGGAGGGTGGGGACCTTGAAGGCATCGAGACAAAGTGGACATGCCAGACTCTCAGGCATCTGTAGTGCTATCCTTTTAGCCATAGTACAGTCAGTCAAAGATGCATAAACTTAGCGGAGAAATGTGAGCAAGAAAGTTCAGCTACTTATTACAAGCACAGAAATGGAAACGTCAATATGTCTGAAAAAAAGGAAAACAAATTATACATTTTGTTGCAAATTATTGGAATTTGAGCGCGTATTTCTTTATCTCTTAACTTGCTAAAAAATAAAATCCAAGACCAAAATTGTCCCATTATATGTATTGATTTGCACGTGTGTAACAACTAGTGACGGTATCTATGCTGAATGCCCATTGTCAGTTCAAACTGGAAGGCTGTCATAGCCTGTGTCGAAGCGTGTGCTCAGTAATGGGGGGAGGGGGCGCCAGTGTGTAGTCATGTAGATCAGTTTCCAAAGACATTCAGGCCCGAATTCAATTTTTTGTCGAAAAACCTTGGTTTTCGTACGTCATATGACGCGTTTTACGCGTTTTTTTCAAACCTGGTTTGTAAAGAACAAAAGGAGGTTTGGCGAAACAAAAGGAGGTTTGAGCTCAAACCTTGGTCTGAGCTCAAACCTTGCTTTGTGAGTTCGGGCCTCAAAGTCCATACTCTCTTTGTCTTTCTTCCCGTATGTGTTAATTTTATTCATAGATGGATGCTTAACAATAATCTTAAGCTAAACGATAGTAAGAGTGAATTTTTGGTTACAGGAACTCCACAACAGATCTCAAAAATAAGCATTGACGGTGTAAGAGTTGGATCCTCCAATGTGATACTTTCTGTTACAGCAAGGAATTTAGGAGTATACTTTGATACTAATTTAACCATGGAAACACATGTTAAAAATATATGCAAATCAACATACTATCTTCTGTACAATCTCAGACGTATCACAAGTAAGCTTGATTATTGTAACGGGTTGCTGTTTGGAATGCCTGATTCTCTGATAGCTAAGTTACAAAGAGTCCAAAATGCATGTGCAAGACTTGTCTATCGTCGGTCGAAATTCACTTCAACCGCACCTCTTCTGAGAGAACTCCACTGGTTGCCAGTCCGTCAAAGAATCTCATTCAAAATATTGTTAATTGTCTATAAATCATTAAGTGGTCAAGCCCCTAATTACATCACAGAATTACTCTAACCCAAAGTTAAATCACACAGTCGTAGCCTGCGCAGTTCCACAGATAAATTATTGTTTCAGATTCCCCATGGCAAAACTAAAGTAACTCTTGAGGACCGTGCTTTTGATATTGCTGCCCCCAAACTGTGGAATAGCTTGCCAATAGAAAAACGAAGCACTCCATCTCTCAATGTTTTTAAATCCAATTTAAAAAATTATTTGTTCAACTGAGAGATCTTATTTTGTAGAATTTAGTAAAAAGGAGCTCTTAACCAGCGCAGCTGAATATATTTTGTATAAAAGCTGCGCTATATAAATCTATTATTAATATTATTATTATTTCACTTCTATCTCCATTTTTTTTCTCTGCTGTACGCTACATCAAGGACGCAGATAAATTATGATCATCACCCAAAAGCATGTTTCGAAAATTTGATAAACAATAGGTATTACCAGGGAGGTGTGAGGTTTCTTCAGCTAACATCTACTTGTGATAACTGTTTGATACCTTGTCAACTGTCTATGTGAGTAGTAATCGTGTAGGCCCTATAGTGTGCCTTGACTAAACTTTACCAGCTATATTCATAAATCATGTCCTCAGTAAAACAACTGGAAGTGAACTTTTTGTCGACCACGTGAACTTAGTCTGTTTTTGAAATATTAAAAGAAATACTTACCCATGAGTTTGTACCATATTTAAATTTCAATAATAATAATAATAATAATCTTTAAAGTCCACTCCAAATTGTATTAAACCGAAAATGGGGTTAACCCCCCCCCCCCCCCCCCCCAAAAAAAAAAGATTTGTGCTCACTACATATTGCTCCGGTTGTCTCATTTTCGCCAACACAAACGTAGCTATAGTTCGCGTATATAGCAGACGACAATCGGCGGACCAGACGACACTTGATTGTGATTTTGTATATGAGATTGCTTTGCTAAATATAAAAAACAAGAACCTTTTCCATATCTTTAAACTATCATTGATATCTGATAATTAAACGATTTAACGATTTTTTTGGGGGGGGGGGGTGTAAAAGTCCATAGGCTAATGACATGTTAGGCAGCTGGACTCTGCCGATAGGGGGCGTTCTGAAATGAGACTAAACGGAGCTATATATGTATTTTTTATTTTTTTTAACTCATGTATTTTATTTTTAACGTTGTTTTATTTCATTTCTAACTAAAATTCAACTATTTTGACCCCAAAACAAACACCTAAGCTTTAAAGGTAAAGACCAGTATTGGAAACGCGCCAATTTAAAAAAAAATGAAGTGGAAGCTCTTATTACCAATCATGTGAAAGAATAAGTTTTGACTAATACATGATGATACAAATTTTGCCGGGAAACCGCCTACTAATTGATATACTTGCTAAATTAGTTTATCTATTGGGAGGTGATAGATAAAACGCACGTGTCGCGCACGTGTGTGTAGTCCGATATACATCTTTCTGTGTACGGTGCTTGTAACTTTACCAGGACTGGGCCAAATTTCTTATCATTTTGATGATTCCAGAACCTTGCAGTACACACCAATACTTATATGCTAGATGATCAACCTTTTCGGATCGATTCCACAACGTTTCTTTCACAATGCAATCGCATGACCAGAACTGATCTTTATCTTTAAACAAGACCAAATAACCAATGTTTTATCTCCATATGTTTTGTACACAAATCACCAAAATGACCGATTTTCGGGCTGCCATGCAAAGAGAAAAGGTCACGTGACTTTGTAACTATACGTCCAATTTTCAAAAAGATTGTTTTAAAAGATGCGTAAGACTAAAAAAAAAAGTCATGAAGCGAAAACTTTGTATCTGCCGTGGTTCCGGAGTATTCGCTAAATTACTTCAGGGGAGGGGGTCAAATTGTCCCCCTGTTAACATAGGATTAAGTTTCAATATTGATTTAAAAAAATGATCAGTAAAGTCAAGTGGACATGAAAATAAACTGCTTAAAACCCACGAATTTTTTTAAAATTCTCTATGATCTTATTGATTATTGTTTAATTGAAATGAGTGTTCTCGTAAAATGCAAGTGCTTGACAAGTTAAAGGTCCTTGGTTGAATGAATTCATTTTTGTCAACAAACTTAGTTAAGAAATGATTGTAGGCCTATATTCAAGCACTGTACTTACACACGCTCTCAAAAATGATAGTTAGAGCAAAATGATAGTGATGATAATGATAATGAATGTAATACTAACTTGGGGATTGATGAAGTAACGGCAATAGAACAGTGTTTCTTGATAGGCCTATTCATTTATTATGAAATTAATTTGATTGTCAAGTTTGGGGCCTTGCAAATATCAGAGGCTTATATATGTTTTTAAGCAATACGTCCTGTCAATATGGCTATTTGTTTGCCTGTAGACACATAGCTGGTAAAATATTTTTGAGTTTGTGTTAAAAGCGAATGTTTCAAGGTTGAAATCACAGATACTGAATCATTACAATTATCTCACAACATTTGGCGTATTTTATATAGTTCTAAATCAACATGTACGAGAATGTGTCAAACAATATGCATGCTCTGGTTTTTTTTGGTGGGGGGACGTATAACATATGCTCGACCATTTCTTATATATTATTGAAATATAGGGATGGCTAATTATTATTTACCAACATATATATTATGATTTTTTATACTCTGAACATGCATTGACATTTTGGACATTCGCGTGCGTGCAACATATGCGAAATCGAAGCGTGCAATTCATGTGGATAACTTCGGTCTGTTTCGCCAACGCTAGCGCGCACCGACCCAGTTTAGCGCGCGCTGACCCAGTTAATCAAGTCTATCCGTTTACGTGCAGTTGTCCAAAAGAAGACGTAGACGGCATTAACCAGTATTCGCCATGCATATAGCTCCGTTTAGTCTCATTTGACACCGCCCCCTATCGTCAGAGTCCATTAGCCTATAAACATGTTAGCCTATGGACTTTTAGACACACAACAAAAATCGTCAACAATTCATTTTTTGTTAAACGAAAAGCACATCCACCCCGACGTACGTTATCACTAGCTCTTTCATTGGAACTCTCATGTCCCATTGACTTTTGAAAGTTCACCCACCGTAATTTGATCAAAATAGGTTGCAAGCTCGCCATTGCCTATATAACAAATGTACAACAAGTCGAACTTCGGACTCAATTTACCACGCGATTGTAAGGTTATAAGTCAAGCACACGAAGGATAAGAAGCATGAATTATCATAGATCAGTTCTGATTTGTCCATTATGTCCATTTCATCCAACCCCCCCCCCCCCCACCGTAATTTTTCCATTTAGTATAGGCAAGCATTTTGCCGAGGTAAGCAAAAACATGAATATTCATGAACACCATGGACTATTCGATTATTAACAGAGAGGTGCAATTGTGCATCACATCAAACTCCCCTACTTTCAGTCAAGTATTTCATTGTATTATGTAGTTTGATAGGTTAATTTTAGTAACTGTTTAATTATCAGATATCAATGAGAGTTTAAAGATATGGAAAAGATTCTTGTTTTCTATATTTAGCAAAGCAATCTCACATACAAAATCACTATCAAGTGTCGTCTGATCCGCCAATTGCCGTCTGCTTTATACGGGAACTAGCCTACGTTTGTGCTGGTGAAAATGAGACAACCGGAGCAATATGTAAGAAATTATCAAAACAACAGATAGCATAAGGAATTACCTGGCTCTTCCAAAAAAAATAATTGTCGTATTATTATTCCAAATGGTCTAACAAATATATGTAGTGAAAAGGAATGCTTAAATATGAATAATATATGATTTATGGGTAAAAATAATGTGAATTTTATGACCTTATTTGCATAATTCACCATAAATATGCAAATGAGTGAATTTTTCTAAAAATTGAAATTACCATAGTATTCTATACACTTCACTTGACATGCATGCAAATTTT